ATATATGATTCTAAATACATACAAGACAAGACACCTACAAAGCACTTTGCTAGGAGAAGCGAGTACAAGTATCCAAAATAAAACATTTCATATTGTTTCACTGTTACTATAGAGGTGAATAAAAGCAATCTCAGTCCTGGCCCCTAACTGACCCTTCCACCGTAGCTGTGCTCCGTGATCAGACATGAGTCATAAGGTGGCTGAGAGGCGTCCTTAGAAAGCCTTCGACTCAATCAGGTTGAGCTGCGTTCTTCGTAATTCAGCTTAGCTCTCAGCTGCAAGTTAAGATGATTAGTATACCCCATGAATGATTTTTTCTGTGTTGGTGTAATGTACTCAGGTGAATATGATGCTTGTGATGTTACTCTGAGTGTATATCCACACCGGGCAGGCTTGAAAAATATGCCTGGCCACGGTAGGAATACTAGATTACATTGATATCGAAGGAACTAGATTCTGTTCCGAAATATCACATACTCGAACCGACCTGACCACATAGCTCAGTTGGCAGAGCATTGGGCTAGTATTCCAAAGGTCGTAGGTTCGATTCCCACCGTGGCCAGGCATATTTTTCAAGCTTGCCCGGTGTGGATATACACTCAGAGTAACATCACAAGCATCATACCCATGACTGTTTGTTAATTTTGTTGTGTGTTATGATTTAGCCGGACCATCACAGTGCACGCAAAGCCACCGTATGTTCTTGGTATTGACCTGGGAACCTCCACAACATGCATGGTTATAATCAAGGAAGATGGCACAAGACAAGATATCGGAATCTATGTGGATGACAGCGATGTCGACCCGTGCATACCATCCATTGTTGCTTTTGCTCAGAATGGGGAACTTCTTGTTGGCGAGAAAGCATTGCGCCAAGCTGTCGTTAACCCGCACTCGACAATCTACGAGGTGTGTAGTTTGTTCTTATTTCACTCTACGTCTTTTTTATGACATTGATTATTACAGAGAAGATTTCTGCAGAGTTTTCAAAAGAAGGACCGTAGGAAGTCCGGCGGGTGATATAAAGTACGCCTATTTTCGGCACACCTTATAGCCAGGGTTTGTGGCTAGAAAGTACGGTCGGCACGAAGCTCTAGGAAGATGTTCTGTGATTGGTTGATTATGACAATGACAAAAGAATAAGCTATAGAATGGATTTTCTAAATAACGAAGCAAGAACAATATTCCTTTTGTTTATGTAAGTCAATTACGTCTTTTGTCATTGTCATAATCAACCAGTCACAGAACATCTTCCTAGAGCTTCGTGTTTACTGATAAAGTACGTCTGAATACAGCTATTTAGTGGTAAAAAACAGACATCTTTTTGGTGGCGTATTTTCCACTCCATACGTACATGGCGGCCATCATGAGTGGCTTCAAAGATGGCCGCCAAGTTATCGTTCCAGTTCCCTTAGAGTTCCCCAAGGATCTTAACATTATTAAGAAAGTTAGTAAATTGGTTGTTAACAAAAGTTATTATTATCATCAGGTTAAAAGACTAATGGGACGAAGTTATTACGATGATCCAGATCACAAGTTTGTCTACCGAGTCAGGCCAACGCTTAAATCTCATTCCCTAAAAGGCGTTCGTGCTGCCGTCGAGATTCCGTGCGGAAAGTTTCGCAAGAAGCTCGTACAACCGGAGTTAATTAGTGCACTGATATTACGTCATGTTGCCGATCATGCGCAAAGGTAATCACGTGAACTTTATTTACCTATAATTAGAATATCATTGTTTTTTAGCGTATACTCGCGATAGTGCTTTTCATGCAATTTCATTAATTGCTCAGCTTCGGATATTCTTGCACTATTCACCTCCCGAAAAATACAAAATGGCTTCCCGTTTCGTTCGGTTTACGGAGGCAAATGGCAGAACTCCCTTTTCAAGAACTCCCTTTTCAAATGGTAGGACTCCCTTTTCAAAAGGCAGAGCTCCCTTTTCAAATGCCAGAACTCCCTTTTCAAAAGGCAGAACGTCCTTTTCAAATGCCAGAACTCCCTTTCAAATGCCAAAACGTCCTTTTGAAATGCCGAAACGTCCTTTTCAATTGCCTAAACGTCCTTTTCAGATGCCAAAACGTCCTTTTCAAATGCCAAAACGTCCTTTTCAAATGCCAAAACTCTCTTTTTCAAATGCCAAAACGTCCTTTTCAAATGCCAAAACGTCCTTTTCAAATGCCAAAACGTCCTTTTCAAATGCCAAAACGTCCTTTTCAAATGCCAAAACTCCCTTTTCAAATGCTAAAACACCCTTTTCAAATGCCAAAACTCCCTTATCAAATGCCAAAACGTCCTTTTCAAATGCCAAAACGTCCTTTTCAAATGCCAAAACGTCCTTTTCAAATGCCAAAACTCCCTTTTCAAATGCCAAAACTCCCTTTTCAAATGCCAAAACGTCCTTATCAAATGCCAAAACGTCCTTTTCAAATCCAAAACTCTTTTTTCAAATACCAGAACTCTTTTTTCAAATGGCAGAACTCCCTTTTCAAATGGCAGAACTCCCTTCTCAAATGCCAGAACTATGAAAACGATCTTGACGATCATCTGTTTTCCTACAATGTTTATTGAATCCCGTTAATAACTTGAGCAGACTTCGAAAATAAGCTAACTGTGTTATTCAGGTACTTTGGAGTTGCTGTTAAAGACGTAGTCATCAGCGTACCGGCACAGTTTGACGACGCCCAAAGAAAAGCGACCATGGACGCCGGCCTGATTGCGGGTTTGAATCCAGTGAAGATCGTGAATGAGCCTACAGTGGCCGTCTTTGCTGCAAACAGCCTGACAGAGGTAAGTTTGTATAGTTAAGAGTACGAGGCAATTCCCGGCATGACACAATGTACAAACAGTGATTTTGTTATCAGGGACGTCGCGAAGTGTGGTTTTTTACTGTGTGAAAAGTTCGCGCGAGTCAAAAATTAATGGTTCTTTTTTAGTACTAATGTAAACCAATATGAAAAACCAACAATTATTTTGAGCAAATATTTTCCATTTTGACAACTTTTTGAACTTAAACACAACCAGTAGCGATGACTCCCTGTTTGTTATCCTTCTCATACTTCTCATCACGCAATATTTTTATCTAGACCACCACTAATCATTTTGCACTCAAAACTCTATTTTCAAATGCCAGAACACCTTTTCAAAAGCCAGAACTCCCTTTTCAAATGCCAAAACTACCTTTTCAAATGCCAGAACTACCTTTTCAAAATTACCACTTAACTGTAATGCTATGCATTTAGTCTATTAATCCGAGATTATTATTTTATTATCTTCAGAAATTGCTGGCTGCCAATGACGAGATAGACAATTCTGAAGAGGAGAAACAACGACACACCATATGGGCTGTAGTCGCAGATATAGGAGGAGGCACTACTGATTACGCTTTAATGCAAATACAAGGCTCTTTTTACAAAGTTATTACTACAGATGGAGACAAGACCCTAGGCGGAAGAGAAATCGATATACGACTGACTGAAGAGATGACCCGTATACTAGAAAAAAAATATAGTCACTTCAACTTAAACAGCTCTGAGTTTCAACAAAAGCTACGAATTGAATGTGAAAATGCTAAGATTGTCCTCAGCGAGAAACAGCAGTACTCCTTAACTGTGGAATACGTGGACCAAGGTGAACGCACAGAGAGTCTACCTTTGGAGCATTTATTAACCCGAGTTGAGTTCGAGGAGTATGTATCTGGAATTCTGGAAGCCATGATCAAACCGTTACATTCCTTGTTGACTCGAGCTGGTGGGAGTATTACAGAGACATTTGGGCAAGGAATAAAGGCAGAGAACATCGAGGATCTATATCTCGTCGGAGGCACCAGTCAAATCCCGAAGTTGAAGAAGCTACTTTTGAGGTATGTGTTTTAGTGAATGGTTAGCCTGAGTGGATAATACAGCTGTTATTCGCACAGGTGGGAGGGGTGGAGGGGGTAGAATAGTGAATACCTCTGTGACTATGTTCGGTTTCCGAGTAACACTGGATCAGTAGGGAATGTAAGCTTCGCGTTTGAGGGCAACAGCAAACGGCAGGGTCAAGTTTTCTTCTTGGAAGAATTTTCCTTTGCCCAGCATTTGTCGTTTCATTTATGAACGCGAAACTCTCTAATAAGAATGGAATGCCCCATCTGGACAACAGTTTAGAACTGGTAGAATTATCCAGTATAAATAAAGTTAGTTTAGTTTAGGTTTCCTCCTATAGTAACACTGGATCAATAAGAGATGACCCTTACTGGACCTCTAGGAAGAACAGTTTAGAACTAATAGAGCTATCCAGTATAAATAGAGTCAGTTTAGTTTTAGTATTTCAGTTATAAAGATTTATATTTTCTCATTGTAGCTACTTCAGTAACGTGAAAAACGTCCGTCATAAAGATCCCGTCCAGCTAGTCAGTCGTGGAGCTGCCGCGTTTGGCGCAGCCCTTACTGGTCTGGTACAGGTCGGGAAAATGCCGCGAATAGATGCTGTGCCGCTGCCAATCAGTATTGCAGTCGATATGGATGACATGCACGTGATCTTTGAACGAAATCGCCTTTACCCATGCATCGAGAAACGTACACTTACTACCTATACTAATAATCAAAATGCTATAGTCATCGAGGTGTGTACTAGATTGATAGTTTGAAAAAAGAATAAAAGTTAAATTAAACCAACATTTATACTGGATAGCTCCATCAGTTCTAAACTGTTCCTCCTAGAGGTCCACTAAGGATCATCTCTTATTGATCCAGTGTTACTACAGGAGGAAACCTAAACTAAACTAACTTTATTTATACTGGATAGCTCTATCAATTCTAAACTGTTCTTCCTAGAGGTCCAGTAAGGATCATCTCTTATTGATCCAGTGTTACTACAGGAGGAAACCTAAACTAAACTAACTTTATTTATACTGGATAGCTCTATCAATTCTAAACTGTTCCTCCTAGAGGTCCACTAAGGATCATCTCTTATTGATCCAGTGTTACTATACAGGAGGAAACCTAAACTAAACTAACTTTATTTATACTAGATAGCTCTATCAGTTCTAAAAGGAAACCTAAACTAAACTAACTTTATTTGTACTGGATAGCCCTATCAGTTCTAAACTGTTCTTCCTAGAGGTCCAGTAAGGATCATCTCTTATTGATCCAGTGTTAATACAGGAGGAAACCTAAAATTATTTATACTGGATAGCTCTATCAGTTCTAAACTGTTCTCTGTAGAAGTGCAGTGAGACTGAGAGCTATCCCTTGTTTGTTTGAGCAGGAATGTAAACTAAACTGTTCTTCCTCGAGTATCCGTATGTGCTAGTCCTTATTACAGGAGGAAACCGAAACTAACCTAACTTTGTACTGGATAGCTTTATCAGTTTTAAATTATTCTCCCTAGTGGTCAACTATGGGTACTATTGGATAGATAGTTTATTGATGGATTGAATTATGGTTTATTTTCAAGGTCTACGAAGGAGAAGGTAGAACAGCAGATGAATGTCATTTTCTTGGGGAATTTGAACTCTCAGGTATCCCACCATTACCAAAGAATGTACCAGAAATTCAAGCTACGTTCAAGATTGATACTAACGGTATACTGAGCGTGAAGGCATCCTATGGTGATATGGTTAAAGGAATGAAGCTGGATGTCTACTCTAAATCTGGGGGGATGATTGGTAAAACAAGAGATAAGATGCATTTGATTTTGAGTCAATTGATGAGTCCGAGTTCTGAGGGACAAGCCAAGTGCGAATTGTTGGAAGATGCGACGCCAATGAGTGTCATTCCAGTGAAACCAAGAAAGTCGAATGTGTTGAAGCTTTCTGTTGATTCTAAGGTTAGAAATTGTTGTCGTGTTTTATTGTGCTCTGTTTGTGTTGAGGGTGGTGATGATGAGGGTTGTGGTGGTGGTGAGGGTGAGGGTGGTAGTGATGATTATTGTGATTGTGTTGAGGGTGGTGATGATGAGGGTTGTGATGGTGTTGAGGGTGGTGGTGACGATGGTGGTGGTGATGATTATTATGATGGTGGTCGAGGTGGTGGTAATGGAGTGCTGATGGTGATTATGCTCATAGTATTGATGGTAAATAATGATGATGGTTATCTGATGATGGTAATAATTATGGTGATAGGATGATGATTATGATAATTGTGATGCTGTTTAATGGTACATAGTTTGTATTTCTTTCAGTACTCAATAATTAAACTTAAAATTATATTTTTATTAGTACGATAGTGTCAAAATGGTTGACAGTTCAGATCCTAATGCATTGGTTCCCGCCATTGGTATGGTGACAGTCAAGGGTCTGGTTATTGATTACGACAGCGTTACCAAGGGAACCAATCTCGACATTGTGTTGGTGGTAGATTTAAGTGGCAGTATGGCGGGGGTTCCCATATCAACAATGAAGACTGTTATACTGCATTTGATTGATAGTCTCAAGGAAAATCATCGTTTAGGTAAGTCGTCTGTGAGTCGGTCGATCAGCCAGCCATAATTTTGTGTCATTCACATGGCTTCCTCCTCCAGTAACAAAATATTTTACTTCTCATTCTGTTCATATAGTTCTTGCATCAAATAATTCTTCTAACTCATAAGTATATAAACTATTAATATTATTACTTGATTTAATAACTCTATGTCTTTCTAATATACAATAGTACTTTAATAACCCTGGATATAATTCTTTAAATTTGTAAATAGTTTAGTCATAATGATAGCTCGATAGCAGTTTGTAACTAGACAAGTTCACTTGTCTTGGGAGAACAGTATTTTACTGATTGTGACTCCTGTATAAATAAAGCTTCTATTCCATTCTATTCTATTCTATTCTACATACTAATGCTATTCCGTTTTACAGGAATTGTGACGTATGCGACAAACGTGTTTCGCAATCTAGAACTAGTCAGTTGCACAGCGGGAAACATGAGCAGAGCCAGAGATATAGTGAACGATTTTTGGATAATGAGCTCGACAAACCTTTATGGCGGCCTGTTAAGCGGCTTGGAGATGGCTTACCATGGAGGCAGACGTTCTCGAGTACTCTTATTTACAGATGGCCATGCCAACGATGGAAAGTGGATAGAAAATGACGACATCATACGGGAAATTGTACGTGAGACGACCGCTTTACGATCAAGAACGCAGGCGCAGGTCATGCTTTCGACTTTCGGTTACCTAGGAAAACATGACGAACTTCTGTTGAAAAAACTTGCTACATACGTTGGAGGTGGAACTTATAACTTCGTAAACGAAAATACAGCGCTGGCTTCCACATTCGCTAAAGTCTTAGGGGACGCCATTCACACGATTGCTGAAAAGATTGAATTGAGCATCACGCCATTGGATAAAGTTCAAATTGTAGAAGCCATAACAAATTTTCAAACAAGACAAGAATCTGAGAAATTGATCTTTGAGATACCAAGTACAGCAGATCAACAATCGCGGCATATTTTACTCCGGTTGGCTGTGCCGCCCACGACCGAGCCGTCTATACACGCGGGACTGTATCGCGTGGAACTCGCGTACACGAACACGCTGACGGAACGCGAAGAAGGTTATTATTATTATTTTTAGTAGTAATTATTATAATTTTGTTTATCCGGTGATCTAAAAGCCCATTTCCACTCAAGAAAAATTTCCACGGATAGAAAATTTTCCGAAAATGTCATTGTTTCCGACGGAAAATTGTGTCGGCCAATCACATTTTACAAAATTTTCTTTTAGACCGGACGCGATTTGGCAACGCGACGCGAATTTTCAATGACATTTAACTTTAATATTTTTCTATGTTTTTCAAATATTCGGAACCACTTAGGCAATTTTAGCTATTTGGTCTGCATATCTTGTAAAATTTTTATCCGTGGACGGTTTTATTTGTTTTTAAAACTGAAATTTCGCGTCGCGTTGTCGAATCGCGCTCGGTCTGTATGGGCCTTTAAAGAGCAGGAAACCTCTTTTGACATGTCAGCCACACCGCAGTACATTTGTAGTGTTTGCACAAATCTGGCTGCCATTCAGTTGTGATTGTTAGATCAGTGACTGAGTCATTAATATTTTTACAGGCAGCGAAGAATATTTCTACGTGGCACGAACTGAAATACTCGATGTGGAAACTAGAAGTCGTGATGTAGATGAACAGTTGAACCGCGTTTTTGTTGCAAGACAAATTGAATTGGCTTCGAAGGCTGAGAATAGAGAAAAATCTGTGGAGTTGTTAAAAGAAGCTTACGACAAGATTCAAAAATCCGATTCAAAAAGTATTTATTTCATTAAACAATATATTAATACAATTTTTTTGCATTTGCTCTGAGAGCACTATTGCTCTCATCTAGAGAGCATCTAATTACCCCACATATATAAATATAAGGAGCATGGGTGTAGAAGATGCGGGCTTTTGTTTTGGGCGTCCGACATTTTTTTGTTTGTTCCAAAAACTTACCCTTCTATCTTTAACCATGCTCCATGACCAGACACGTGTCGTATGGTAGTAGCATGTTTGCAAATCCGTTCAAAAACTCATTAATAATTCATGAGGAAAACACAAAGAAAAATCATAAGCGTGTCGTATCTTTACATGTGATAGAGATTTCCCTTGATTTACATTAACTTTGATTTTCTCGACTTACACAACGTATTTTTTGAAGCAATATAAAATATTCGCAGTGCGTGTTTTATCAGACTAAAGATACTTGGCTTCGCCTCGTATCTTTGTATCTGATAAAACACTGTTGCTCATGTTTTGAATAACACTTCAAAGTTTTCATATATTTTTTTCTACAGAACTGCACTGTTATTTTTTTCAGGTCATACACTGAGCGTGTGTTTGAGTGAAGATTTGGAACAGTTGATACAAGACGTTGAACAGGGGGATTTTAATACTGCCAAGAAATCATTGCAAGATAGTTTGACAAGTCATTGGCAGGAGAAAGGAGGCAGAGGCTCTTGTTATGTCACCAGAAAGGAAGACAAATTAATCTCAATATTTACAAGTTAGATTTACTATATTGTCTAATAGGAATGTTCCCACTGATCTAATAGGATGTACCTAATACTACTTTGCCGGATACCAGATGGTACCAGAGAGTAGTCTACCAGATGATAACTGGATACTGATGATGGTACTTGGACAATATGTCATTAACTTTTCATCATAAAATAGTCCATCGTCTGTTTAGTATGTGGCACAAGGATCATCTGACAATATACAACACAGAGCAGTTTACATCACAAAAAACTTTCGTTTTAATGTGTCCCATGTCCGGTAGACTAGTTGTTTGTGTTTTACAATATCTTAATACAAAACAGTCCCAGTACCATCCAGCAGATTTGAACCGAATAGTGCCAGATAGCCACGGTTTGTGGATATACAGTACGCTGGAGTTTGGCATACCGTACCTCCAGTACGTAACCGTTCTCTGAAATCTACATGTGTAGGAAATTTTATATTTGGCTTACACAGGAAATTATTATTTTTGAAATTTGTTGTTCATGTTTGCATCTCGTGTTCATATTTTGCCAATGTGTATATTTTTCAGGTTTAAACAAGTCACACAAGTGGAGTGGAACAGATATACGCCTAATCATAATCCTAGCATTCTGCTCGTTAATAGTGATTGTGTTCATTGGTTATACTTATAAAAAGAAATCTGGGCAAAGCAAGATTGTCTCTCGGGATTCGCTTAACCCGGCAAATAACTCACGTTTGTTCATTTTATAGTTTACTTTATTGCTGATATTATGTTCTCGTTTTTCACCTACCAAATACATGTCAACAATTATTTTACTACCAAATATCAACCAAATTATTACTAAATATGCCAAACTCGCGACACTCTCCCCCTATTTTATACTGTTTGTATTAAATATGATCCTGTCCGTAATGTAAACCTTATTAACTAGAAGTTTATGAATAAATTTACTGTATCGTTCAACTGGTTAGTTCCTCTTGATTTGCAATCTCTTTTATCATATTCCTAGCAACTACGGCTGCCTTTCTAGGATTAAATTCTCTTGCTAAGTTCAGTAACTTCCTCCGTCTTATGTGGTATATCACATGATAACTCCATTGGACATAATTGCTGCACCGCTCTCTCAATAAATGACTTCCCAGCTATTAACCTCACCGCGCGTACAACACCGTCTCTTCCTTTAATCAGCTTCACTACCACACCGATGTTCCATTTTCCTCGATTCCGTTCATCCGATGTTATTAATACCACGTCTCCAGGTTTGATAGAGAGTTGTTTGGTCTTATGGTTAAGGTTATGTCTCTCTCTCAAGCCTTTCACGTACTCTCCAGACCATCTGGACCACAATGCATCCTTGCAACGCCGTAGATATCTTGCTCTTTTTCTCAGATTACCGTCTTCGATCGATTCGATATCTTCCTCTGGCAATACATTGGACTGTTCGAACATCATTGAATTTGGAGTTAAAACGGGTAACTGAATGTCATCCTCGACGTATGACAATGGGCGATTATTCAGTGCGATTTCTCCCCACCAGGGAGCTCTGCTTAAATTAAATTGCCATTTTATGTACTGGTGGGCGAGATAATTTTGAAGCTTCTCATCTTTCATGATCGCTCTGAGCCACTTCGCTGCAGCTACAAAACTTTTGGCGTTGTCGAAATAGATCTTACTAGGTCTACCACGTCTAGCCACAAACCGCTTTAAACTTCTGATGAATCCCTCAGTCGTTTGATCTTTTAAGAGCTCGAGATGGATGGCTCTGGTAAGACTACATGCGAACAACCGGATATGAGCTTTGCCGTTTTTCGTCGAACTAATCTTGTATTCCATTGGTCCCGCATAGTCGACACCGAGTACTTGGAAAGGAGTCGAACCAATGGTCCGGTCTGTTGGAAGATTTGCAGGTGGTGGACTGTGGAACGCAGTGGCACGGAATTTCTTGCACCCGAAGCAATTGTTGATAACTTTCTTTGTTAACTGCCTCAATCGTGGGATCCAATAGTCACGTCTAACCAAAGTCATTGTAAGGCCAACTCCCCCGTGCAGAGTCACGATGTGGGCATCTTCAACGATCTTCTTAGATAAACGTGCCGCAGGTGGTAAGTATAGAGGAAATTCTCCTTGAATGCGACCACGGCACTCGTATAACCCAGCTGAGTTCAGCTGTAAGTTCAGTCTTAATTTGTCTTCTTGAAACTCGTCTGTACCGTTGGAGCTATATTGGACTCTCGTGATCCACCACTCAACTTGTTGATGTATATCTTTAGTTGTCAAAGGACCGGTAACTCTCGCTAGTTTCTTCAACTTACAGTTCGTTAGGAATCTTCTAATCCAAGCCATGATCCGGACTGCAGACCAAAAGCAATGTTTCGACAATAATTCTTCAAACTCATCATCTCCACGGCAGCTGCGAATAATTCTCGGCTCAGTTTCGCTTCTTCTTCAGTTTCCTTGCTTGCCATAGGAACAATTGACTCCGGCCACTGGTTGGGGTATGGTAACCACACTGGTCCGTTTAACCGAACCTTGGGGAGATTGCTTCCAAGACACCCTCTGCTTCCAACGTCAGCTGGATTCTGGTCAGTGGTTACACGTCTCCACTCGATGAACTCCTCGTTTATCTTACGCACTCTGTTAGCTACGAACTGCTTATAAGTTCCACCCCCTTTGATCCAATATAGGGCTACAGTGCTATCTAGCCATCCCGTAACAGATCTCACCAGTTGACCATCAAGCTTGTTTTAAAAACAGACTAGAACAGTCTCGTATAGCGAGGTTGGACGTAGCCCCCTCTGCAAGTATCTCTATGGTTTTGGCCTGCGAATGGGTGTTCGAAAAATTATTCTGTTTTTTTTAGACTACCCGATTCCCCAGGTGAGATGCCTGCGGAGGAGGCTAGGTTGGAAGGATTTTATTTAAATTTATTTTATCTAGACCATGTTTTAAATGGTTTTCGAGTTTATAGTTAGAATATGAACTGTTTCCTTAAAAGAAAACGATAAAATGTTATTTATTCAGGAATTCTTTGTCTTGTGTAGCTTTGTCTTTTCATTCAAAATTATTTTTGAAAATCTCTCGTGCATTGCTCTCCATGCTACCCAGCCACCCACTGTTTGAGGAACATCCGCAGAGAGCAAGGTCCATAACGGCGGGGGGCCCTATTCTCATGCAGAATACTCAGAACAGAGAATGTTTTTATCTGCGCCTGTTCATTATTAGGTGCAAACGACGGTACGGCCGAACAATTTACGGCATTTTTTACGCCTGGCAGTCGCCGCAGAATATGCGAATCAGGCATTGAACTAAAAATAACTGGAACGATACCTCCAACCGGAAATGTGAAGCCATGCCCAGGCATGCCCACTGTTGTCATGCCCAGTCTTTTCACGTAACGGAAAAACGCGGGTTTTTTAAATTTCCAAAACTGGGTAAAAAAAATGCACTAAAACATCGTTTAAAACGACTTAAAATGCACCTG